TACTTGTATACATTCAATTTCTATATTAATCCAATAAATGAAACAATATAATTTAAATTATAATATCATAATATCGTATCATCACGGTGCTATCCCACCCAAATATTCGAATTATTAAATTGAGAAATAAATTTATATATATATATATATATATATATATATATATATGTGTGTGTGTGTGTGTGTGTGTATGTGTCTGTGTGTTGAAGGTGTTTAAATTTGATACTAAAATGTATGATTAATTTCTTAGAGGGCGTAACATCAAGTAGAAAATAAAGTAAAGATTTTTAAAACATCTTTATTTTTCCATACGTTTCGTCGTAAAATTCTACGTCATCAATGGTTAGTAATTAATTAATATTTTTTATCAATTTGGAAGCTTTTGAGCCCTGGGAGCAAATAAATTCGAAAGTATCCATATTAAGGACCACCCTAATACGTGTGCATATATATAAATATGTATATATATATATATATATATATATATATATGTATGCGTATATAAACCTTTATTATAACATTCCATAGTAAGAATTCCACATGTGCTTCCTTTTCTACATTTCACAATTTCTTTACAAATTATATGATTTAATTTAATTTTGTCTCAGAGAAAGGTATAATTTTTAGTTATTTCGAATTATAAAAAATGCATATTGCATAGGCATAGTTGTTTATAAAAAAATAATTTCTTTTGGAATTATATAAATATATGAGTGTGAAATGAATTGCTTGACGTCAAAAAGGTTGTTTTGTCAAATCCACTTCTAGAAAAAAAATGCAATAATTTTCTTCAATATTCATATTTGTTATGGTTTATTAATGGTAATAAATCATTATTATTTAAGCCTTTCTTATGTAATATAATATTTTTCCACTGCACATTTTATTGCGATGTATGTCTGACACTGTGTATAATCTCTTTTATAACATTTTTACATTTTATTAACATCATCATTTTATTTTCGATTTTTTACTAATAGAACTAGTGGTGCCGCCGGCAGTGTTCTTTAATCGCTGGAACTTCCCGCTTATTAAGACTTTTAAAAAATCAATATTTGCTTTGTCATTGTTCGGCAGAGTCAGTCATTATAATTATTTGACATCAGAATAATAATTTGAATGTAATTTTTCCGATCTTTTTTAATATATGTGTACTTCAATTAAATAAAAAAATCATTAAATCATGAAGCACACTTTGTGAGTACTCTAAATACTGCAATAATGATAAACTAAATACGATGGAATTAATTCTAACAAATATAAAAGACAAAATGTTCAAAATTTACTGTTATATTACAATATTTTTAAAGCACTGCAAATTTGTTTTGAGTTCAAATATTGAATTTATATTTCAAATTTTTCAAATGCATATTATCTGCAGTAAATTTGTAAATGCGTTCAGTAAATTATATAATATTTCATATACGAAGAAGGTCGATAGATCATTATAGAATTAGTACAAATTAGAAATTCTAGAATGACGCATAAAATGTTGCCTAGGAACGTTATTACATGATCAAGTTTCTTGGCACTCTAGTAAAATCTATCAGAACTATTTCCAACTGCAATAAAAGTTTTCAATATAAGGCGATTTGGGAATAACATTTTATTTGAAAATATTCATAATTCAATTATTCTCAAATAATTAAGTCCTCAAACTTAACCGATTTGCAATGTCCATCATCAATAAAAGAATGAAGTGAAACTTGTTCATAGAAGTTTTTGCATAACTTTTCATAAAACATGAACTTGGATTTATATGATATAGTACACCTAGTTTAATTAATTAATCCAGTGCAAATATAATTACATGTTTATAATATAGTCTTCATATAAAATTTCCTACTTTATCGATTTAATCTTCTAATAGACACATTCATGTATACCTTGTGATGCGAACAGTTTTACTTGACTGGTTTCCAAGTACATAATTAAACAACTAATTCATATGCAAAATATGAAATTATAAAATTCAATAACTTTTCTTATAGACCTTCTTGTGATATGGTGTGATACCACTTTATATAAAGGTCAAATGATGTGATTTTTCAAAAATTGTCAAAAAATTTCTAAAATTTTAAATACAATATTTAAATTCAGGGAAAACACCTTATTAAATACTATTACTGAAGAAAGACGGCCAGAATGCACAAAATTCCGTTTACCAAATTTTCTAATTTCCTTTCAATTAATATTAAAGAAATACCACATGTTTTTAATAAAAATTATAATAAAAAGTATATAACGATATTATTAGTAAAATAATAAATTTATGAATAAAATATGAATTCGATTTGCATAATGCTTTTGAGCTTATAATGCTAAAAGGTGTTCGTAGCGCATGATATAAAACTTAAGAAATAAAATTTAAGACAATTTTTTTTTCAAAATTAATATTTCTATATTTTTTAATATAGTTAATATATATATATATATATATATATATGTTGTTTAAAAAGTCTGGAAAGAATCTCAGTTTTAAATAAAAATATTGCCTGAATGTTCAAATTATACATTAGAAAGAAAAATTCAAATAATTTATTTTTTAATATTTGTCTCAAAATTGCGCAGAAACATATATTTGATAAACGTCTAATAATTATATGTATTGGCAAATACAAATCAAATAATATAAATTTGATTGCATAAAAGTTTTATTTGGGAGCAATAAAACGCCGATAAAAGTATAATAACAATATTAATGGTGGAATTAGTATTGAAAATATGGCTTTGTATATAAAAGTAACGAGATTGCAATGTACAAAATAAATTTCACTCCATTACAATGCTGCATATTCGTAGTTGATAAAAGCCAATATTAGTCTTAAATGAAATAATTTAAATTTTCTGAATCTTATGAAAAATTTGATCGCTGATCAAAGTTTATAGACAACCTTTGCAGAAGAAATAAAATGTTTAACTAATTGTTATAACAATTTCTTTTAATGCAAATTTTAGTAAATGTCTGAATATATTTTTATTTTTTATATATATATGAAAAATAGAATTTTGATAAGGCATTTTTTTATATAAGTATAAAAAATATTTTTTTATTTGAGCACATTCTTTGGAATTTTCATTAATAAATTCATTCCTATTCTGAAGTGCTGCGAAATTAATCCATTGACCTATTTACTTTTTATATATCTGCTTATAATTGTGTATGTCTCATATTATAGAAAAAAAAACTCTTTTCAATAATTCTCTTGTAGTATCTAGCTCATTATGCAAATATTGCAGAGTCCTGAAGTTTTTCACTTAGAAGCTTCTGTCTTGTAATAACTGAATATTGTAATAACAAAATAACAGTAGTAACGATAAATGTAATATTTACGATGTAATATTTCGATGAAAACTACTATTTGTTTCAATAACGTACATAAGACTATATTTGTATTTTATTAAAATTGTTCATACTCCAAACCTTACATTTTTAAAATTTTTAAATTTTTAGGGGAAAAGGAGGTTTGGCAAAAAGTCATGAAATATCACTTGGGGGAGGAAGGGGTATAGTAAGATATCACGTGTATTTATTTTTTACATGAATTTAAAAAAACCAAACGTTTTCAAAAAAAATCCAAAGTTTTACAATTTTTTCTCGTTACTAAAAATACACGTGCTGTTTAGTGGGAGAGGGGGTGGGGTTAATTTTAAATATCACCACGTGTCACCAAGAGGGAGGGGGAGTCCAAAAATCCTTAAAAACTTGATCACGTGATTAATGGACGCCCCCTAATCGCAAAAAATAGAAGATTGAAATTTATGCATGTCTTTACGTTTCAAAAGTTTCTGAACATTTTGGCACGCTTTAGAAAAAATCGATGCATGTGTGTGTGCGCGCGTGCGTGTATGTATGTATATGTGTAGTATGTATGCGTGTGCGGATACAATTTCTCGCCCACGTTTTCGACAGATTCAACATCATTCAATTCCTATTGAAAGGAAAGCGTACTGATTAGTTATTTCGCCAAGGCAGGTCTAGCAGTTTTGAAAACACGGAACAAAAATTGCAAAAAATGGCAGTTTAGTTTTTGAGAGAACGAAGCGTCAGATTAGATAAATCAAAATATATTTTACTTGTATTGACGGAATGAAAAATTGATTACAAATTCGGAAAGACAGATCCAGCAATTTCGGAGATAGAGAGAAAAAAGTTAAATTAAAAAAATGTCATTTGAAAAAAAAAATGACAAAAATGATCAATGAAATTGATGATCACATGAAATTATTAGTTTTGTGCGATAAGGTCATCGCAATATAAAATATGAATGAATAAATTTATAGAATATGATTATATTTATGATAATCTATTTGAACATATTTAAAACATTTGTTATTATCATTGATCAATTTTTAATGATTTCTGATTGTTTCAAATTCTCAAATATTTAATTACGGGAAGTTCCTTGCCTTAGAACACAATGCCTTGCACCACTAGTTGTATTCAAAATGATGCACTTGAAGTCAAAGTTAGTTAACTCTATAATTCAAATTTTTGAACAGAGCGGTTGAAACAAATCTCGAACGAACAAAATTTGATAGGCAATATTCCCAATGGTTACTTAAATAAACAAATTCATTTGTTTCGTATCGTAGTATACAAAAACAATTGATGCTCTGTGAAATCAATGATCTGGATTATTCTAAAATATAATTGATCAAAAATATTTCAGTCGTAAAAGTAATAAAGAGAATCTTTAATAATTGAATTGTGTGAAAGAAAATCGAAGTGTATAAAGTAGTAAAGCGGTGACAAACGGCGTATACGATAAGTGCAAATCAGGTATGACTTTTCACAATTAGTGTCAGCTCGGTAAGCGTCATTTTCACGTAATGAACCATAACTAGATATACCAGTTTCGCGTATGGAGTCCGATCTGCAGCACAATTAGAATTTTTTCCTCCTGCATATTGTTGTTTTAGCCGCGTCAGAGTTGGTCAGGTAAGACGATAAATACAGGAGCAAGAGGAACACTCGCACACAACGACAGAGTGAGCCAGTGTGCGCGGTCGTGGCCATTGATAGAGCGACTTAACATCAAACTGATTTCAGTCGAATAGATAGAGTCCAACAGGTGCAGTGATAGACGACGAGCACCAAGTGGACAAGACACCAGTGGACAAACAGTGAAATTGTTGATTTGATTGTATCAGTGATAGCCAGTGATATAACAATATTGTGTTAAAAAATGATGACGCCGACCGAAATTAGCAATTTGAAAAAAGTGAAGTTGGAGAATTTTTGGGACGAGGTCGATCCCAAAAACATATCGCCTGAGTATCCAAAAAATGAAATCCAGGATTTTTTCAGCGGCGGAAGCGTCTTCATAACCGGCGGTACCGGATTTTTGGGAAAATGTAAGCAATGACAAATTATATTATTTAAACACAAGACAACACTATATATAGATTTAATTCTCAAAAAATGTTCATTTTTAATTAAGTGTTACATCATTCTAAATCGTTACTATCGCATTTTACTATTTCCGGGTGATATTAACATGTTAATTGCTACGATAATATCGGAAAAGCTTACGCATAAACCATGGTAACTTTATTAGACAATTTATTTAAAAATGTATAAAAAAAATTATTTGCCAAAATTCCGAGTCAGATGATTTAGTTAAAAATATATCAAGAAAACTTAAAAAAAAGGAAAATTTTTTTTCTTAAATTCCTAGAAAAACATTATTTTTTATGTCACACATAGCCTTTCATTATTTTTTCCTGAATTCCTAGAAAAAGCACTATTTTTATGTCACACATATATGACTGACATCGCATTTTATTGTCATTTCCTAAATTCCTAGAAAACCACTATTATTTATATCACATAAAAACACTGTATTTTATGTCACACATATATAACTGACATAGCCTTATATTGTGTTTTCTTAAATTCCTAGAAAAACACTTTTATTATTTTTTTCTAAATTCCTAAAAAAAAACACTATTTTTTATGTCACGCATATACGACTGACATAGCCTTATATTGTTTTTTCCTAAATTCCTAGAAAACCACTATTATTTATATCACATGACATAGCCTATATTATTTTTACCTAAATTCCTAGAAAAACACTGTATTTTATGTCACACATATATGACTGACATAGCCTTATATTGTGTTTTCTTAAATTCCTAGAAAAACACTATTTTTTATGTCACACGACATAGCCTTTTATTATTTTTCTCTACATTCCTAAAAAAACACTATATTTTATGTCACACATATATGACTGACATAGACTTATATTGTTTTTCCCTAAATTCCTAGAAAAACACTATTTTTTATGTCACACAACATAGCCTTTTTATTATTTTTCCCTAAATTCTTAGAAGAACACTATTTTTTATGTTACACATATATGACTGACATAGCCTTATATTGTTTTTTCCTAAATTCCTAGAAAAACACTATTTTTTATGTCACATGACATAGCCTTTATTATTTTTCCCTAAATTCCTAAAAAACACTATTTTTTGTGTCACACATATATAACTAAAATAGCCATACATTATTTTTTCCTAAATTCCTAGAAAAACACTATTTTTTATGTCATACATATACGACTGACATAGCCTTATATTGTTTTTTCCTAACTTTCTAGAAAAACACTATTTTTTATGTCACACGACATAGCCTTTTATTATTTTTTCCTAAATTCCTAGAAAAAACACTATATTTTATGTCACACATATGCGACTGACATAGCCTTATATTGTTTTTTCCTAAATTCCTAGAAAGACACTATTTTTTATGTCACACAACATAACCTTTTATTATTTTTCCCTAAATTTTTAGAAGAACACTATTCTTTAGGTCTGATTATATATGACTGACATAGCCTTATATTATTTTTTTCTAAATTCCTAAAAAAAACACTATTTTTTATGTCACACATACATGGCTGACATAGCCTTATGTTGTTTCTCCCTAAAATCCTAGAAAAACACTATTTTTTATGTCACACATATGCGACTTATAAATAGACATATAAATATCCTTTTATTGTTTTTTCCTAAATTCCTAGAAAAACACTATTTTTTTATGTTACACATATATGACTGACATAGCCTTATATTGTTTTTTCCTAAATTCCTAGAAAAACCCTATTTTTTATTATACTATTTTTTCACACATATATGGTTGGCATAGCCCTATATTATTTATAGCTCAAGTGTAATTTTTTAGTGTCAACCACATATGACTGACATGGCGATTAACGTGTTAAAATTATTTATAACATGATACTCTAATAATAAATACTTCAAAACGTTAAATATATCCCAATAATATGGTCCATATACTTTAATTTTTGAGAAAAAAATGAATATTCATAAAATAGAAAAATAAAAATCGTATATTTTGGACAAAAAGTTAGTTAGATAATTACACATTGCCTCACTAGCTTTTAATAACTTGGTAATTTTTATTATTGCAATAAAAATATTAATTAATTTTTATTTAATGTTTCATGCAGAAATACACGATTTTTCAATGCATTTTCAAATTAAACGGTTGTTACAATCTTAAATTATACAATAAAATTAGTATATTCGTATGTTGCATACGATACACTTTCTTGAATGTTATTTGCTCACATGCAAACACTTTCTAAGTGCAATTGGTAAACCAGATCATTGGAACAAGATAGTAATTGCAGTTATATCAAAAAGCGATATGATAAAAAATTGTATACATTTTTTTTACGTTCCATGCCAACTTCAATATTTATTCGTTCGTTCTATATATGTATTTCGATATGAACGTGTAAAGCAAATTCCAATCGACATGAAATTACAAACAATCAATTCGCACGTGAAGTGCGAAAAGATGTAAATAATGTATTTAGAATACACGCTTTGTCGCTTAAAAATAAAATCGCAGACAAGCTAATAAGTACAACAAATGCATGACTATCGAAAGTGATGCATACGATCACGAACTAATGTATTCCACATGTATTCAGAAATGGAAAGTTGTTGATTTCATCCGAAAATCGAAATTGAGGATTTTCTATCATTTTAAGTTTTTCAATATTGTAAAGATCTTGTCAAAAAGTATTTGTCTGTGTCTAACTCCAACTCCAATAATTTGTATTTTAAAATGCAAAATATAATTACCAGGGTACGGTTGTGCCAGATAGTTACAGTCGCTATAAGAACAAAACTATACAGATTTTGAGATAAAATCCATTGGGAATAAGGCGAAGTATGTTTGTTCGAACAAGTTACCATTATTGCTTTCAGTCAGTGCCCTAGGTTAACATTATCTGTAGACCGCATTGCTTTTAACGAGTCAAAAGTGAATTTTCATGTTCGATTTCTTTTGTTAATAATTATAATTATTACTTGTATGCAGATAGATCACTCTGTTTGTTATTTTGCTATAAGTTGAACATTAGTAGTTATTTAAGTGTAAGTTGAACATTAGTAGTTATTTATTAACAATTAGTTTTTGCATAAATATGTAATTTAATTCAGTCATAACGATGATTTGCTTTCAAAAGCGTGCGTTGGGTACGGTGGTGACAAATTCTGTGGGTATGGTTGTGACATGTATTTTTTGTGCTTTTCGTTAAAGATTAAACAGATAAAAAATTTTAACTTAACTAATTGTAAGACAAAATACAAAGAAAACAAAATTTCAATATAAGAAAAAAAAATTACAAAAATGTTTTTTAAATTTGTTTAAAAAAATATGTTCTGTTACATATTGTTATATTCTTTTCATAAGCTATGTTTAAATGATTCTTCTGCCCCGGGTTTTTCTAAAAGCAATTTTTGACCCGGATTTAGATTTTTTGTTCCGGATTATTCCGGGTTGAATAAAAATTTTCGGTTAAAATAGTCTTTCGCATTAATAAATTCTAACTTTTATATGCAATTTCACGAAAATTTAATAGAACTAACAAGTAAGTGCAAGTTTTTCAAGGTAATTATGAAGAAAATTGATCAGAATTTTAATACAAGACTCAAAAGTGAAAAAATATATAGATCAAAATATATAAAACAATACTATATACTAACGTCATAAGTCAAAGAATAGCATAATGTAATTGACAATAAAAGTTCGCAATTCTTTAAAAAAGGGGTAATTTAAAAAAAATCTGTTTTTATTGTATTCTTAAATAATAGTATTTGTTATTTTAAATATGATTTTATTTAAGTTATTTACCATAAAAAGCACCCCTTTCCCCGTCCGCTGTCCCGCAACTAAAAATTGTCGTCCTGGTTTTAACTTAAAAAAATATGGTCATCAAATTATAAATCATTTTGCCCTTTTCTTGTATAATTTGATTTTATGACTAATCCATCGTATTTAAGAACAGTATTTCAGTATTTCCACGTAAACAATTATTCAAATTACAATTTAATTTATTTATCTCCGAGCTATCTGGTAAATAAATAAAATTATTGCTCATCCAAAAAGTGGCATAACTGTACCCAGTTTCCCTATACATTTATTTGAATATCAGCGAACCTACTTTTGATAAATAACATATTTAAAAAAATACGTTGCGTTAAAAAGAGTAATTGCTGTGCATAAGAAATTACCAATATTTCTATTATATCTTATATTTTGTATATACCCAATAATCAGTTTAACGGTTTCGTTTAGTTTTTGCATATATAGTAATACTAATTATATAAACGTTATTTGAAATACGCTTACAATATCTAATCTTATCTCTATAAAAACATGCTTAGCAGTTGCTTTTGTTGTTACCAATAATGTTATTACCGTAAACAACGATAGAACTATATAAAAAGTAGTTAGTGACATATAAAAACTTTGTTTTTATTATGCTAAGCATACCTTACATATGCATAAACATGAAAGTTTTCTAATAAAATGTACTAGCTTTGTGAGTGGTATAATAGACAAAGTGTTGGAAAAGCTACGATAGTAAATGTGAGTTCAAATTGGAACATTTTGTTTAAAAATCGATCAATATCATAAAATTTATTTTTAAAAATTATATATTTAATTCGCAAAGGTATAATTTATTGGGCCCGTGTATAATGAATCATATAAATGCACAGCTTCAAATGTATAAAGAGATTTTTATAATGGTTACCTTAAATCTCAGAATTTAGATAAAATCAAAGCATCATACAAAAAATAATCTGTTTTTCAACATATCAACAAAAAATACATATTTAAGCGGTATATAACAATTTTTAATATATAAGCTAATTGCAAATATTTAATTATTTATAGGTAACAAAACAAGATTTTATATGAAATAAAAAATTGATTAATGGTTAATAAATAATCATAAAATTTATTTACTTCAGCTCATATGATGAATTTTTCGCTATGCGCCGCTTATTCAAGTGCAAATATTGAA